TTAGTCTTGCCTGTTCTTGAACATATTATGAATGGAAACATAAGCTGTCTCACTGCAGTCTTGTGTGATTATAGAGCTTCTTTGCACCTCAGTTTCTTTCTCTGTGAAATGGGTTGACGAATGCACCACCTCATAGAACCAAATGAGCCATTAAAGCCTGTAAAGGAAGGAGCTCAGAGAAAACATTGAATAAATACTGCGATTTAATGTCAGCACCCTTAGCTCCTGGCACACTTCTTCTTGTTTCCCTAATGGCTGGCATACAGTAGGTGGTCAGTAAGCATTATTATTATTGTAGTCATTATCGCTGCTGTAGAGTGACAAGGATTTGAACCCAGGCTACCTCTAGCACCAGTCTCATACCCTCTTGACTTCTAAGCCTGACAACCTGGCCTTGCCCATTTTCCTGCATGGAAACAACTGTCTCAAGAATCACTGATAGCTTCTCCTGAGCTTCTTCCACCTCTGCTATTTTTTGTTGTTGTTGTTGCACACAAGCAGGATCTTAGTTCCCCAACCAGGGATCGAACTCATGCCACCTGTAGTGGAAGCGTGCAGTCTTAACCACTGAACCGCCAGGGGAGTCCCTACCTCTGCCTTTTATATGACATGTATATGGTAGTCTCTCCCTTGCCCTCAAAGCCCACTGCTCCTGCAGGTCCAGTGATGACCGACCGTGTGGGTTACTCCTCCTGCTTCTCTGATTGTGCCTCTACCACTAGCTTCTCTCTCCCTTTCTGCCCAGGCAGTATCCTCAGCCTTCTGTCTTGCTCAGGCAGCCCAGCCCAGCCCTGACGTTTCCCTTCTTCCCCCAGCAATGCCATCGGAAAGCAAGGCTGGCTCAGGCCACACGGTCATTCTGGGTCCAGCAGAAGCCAGAGGTTGCTTTGCCCCTTCTCTGACCCTGCTGTTCTCTCCATGTCCCCACAGAAGGGCAGGCAGACCTCTGAGAGAAGAGCATCCAGAGACCTGCCCTCATCTTCCCCCATTCCCAAGTGGTCTTGCTGACGTAGCTCAGCATCGTCAAGGGTAGAGAAGGGAATATGGATCCCACCCCATCCTTGTCATTGGTGCAGGAACTGCCAAGCCGGGGGAGACAGAACAAAGAGAGGCAAAGGTATTTATAGTTAAGATGACTAAGATTAAATAATAAGAATAATATCTTAAATAATTAACATTATTTATAGTGGGGAGCACTCAGATCCCAGACCAGTGTTATCCAATAGAAAGAGAACCCAAGAACCCAAGTCACATACGTAATTGAAGATTTTCCAGTAGCCACATTAAAAGAGTAAAAAGACACTGGTGCTGTTCATTTTCATCACCTATTTTATTTAACCAGTATATCCAAATAGTTTTCATTTCAATCAGTAACTAGTATAAAATGACTAAGGAGATATTTTACATTATTTTCTCATACTACATCTTCTAAATCCGGTATGCATTTTAAACTTTATAGAGCATCTCATTTCGGACACTAGATTTGTAATCTGAACTCTTGATCTGTATTTAGATTTCATAAAGCTCCAGTAGAAAAAGTACATCCGCTGATTATTAGGCAAATGCTAATCAAAACTACAGTGAGGTACCACCTCACGCTGGTTAGAATGGCCATCATTAAAATGTCTACAAATAACAAATGCTGGAGAGGGTGTGGATAAAAGGGAATCCTCTACACTGTTGGTGGGAATGTAAATTGGTGCAGCCCCTATGGAGAACAGTATTGAGGTTCCTTAAAAAACTAAAAATAAAGCTAACATATGATCCAGCAACCCCACTCCTGGGCATGTATCTGTAGAAAACCATACTTTGAAAAGATATATGCACCCCAATATTCATTGCAGCACTATTCACAATAGCCAAGACATGGAAACAACCTAAATGTCCATCGACAGATGAATAAAGATGTGGTACATATATATAATGGAATATTACTCAGCTGTAAAAAAGAATGAAATAATGTTATTTGCAGCAACATGGATAGACCTAGAGATAGATTATCATACTAAGTGAAGTAAGCCAGACAAAGACAAGTATCATATGATATCACTTATGTGTGGAATCTAAAGTATGACACAAATGAACTTGTCTACCAAAAAACAACAGACTCACAGATATAGAGAACAGACTTGTGGTTACCAAGTGGGAGGGGGAGTGGGGGAGGGAAGGATTGGGAGTTTGGGATTAGCAGATGCAAACTATTATTTATAGAATGGATAAACAAGATCCTACTGTATAGCACAGGGGACTATATTCAACATCCTGGGATAAACCGTAATGGAAAAGAACATGAAAAAGAATGTACATATATGTATAGCTGAATCACTTTGCTGTACAGTAGATATTAACACAACATTGTATATCAACTATACTTCAATAAAATAAATTTAAAAAAAGAAAAAGTACATTCACATGCTTAAGCTGTTCCAAGCCTACTCATAAATTTTCTAATAACTCAACTGAGGATTGTTCTTTTTAAAATTCAGATTAAACAAAATTAAAAATTCAGTTCCTCAGTCACACCAGCCACATTTCAAGTGCTCAGTGGCCACGTGTGGCTCACGGTGGGTGGCCCTGTTGGATGGCACAGATATAGAACATGAACATTATCCAGAAAGTTCCACTGGACAACAGTGTGGCTTTAGACCAGGTTTTTTGTTTTTTTTGGGGGGGGGTGTTGTTTGTTTGTTTGTGTTTTTTTATCAGTGTCAGTATTGACATTTGGGGCTGAATAATTCATTGTCAAGTGTGTTTGTCTTTTGCACTGTAGGATATTCACCAACATCCCTGTTCTCTATCCACTAGATGCCAGTAGCAGCCCCCCTTCCCCTCATGACAACCAAAAATGACTCTAGACATTGCCAAATGTCCTCTGGGGGGTGGGGGGAATAACCCTTAGGTGAGAAACACTGTTCTCGATCAAAACAGAGTTCAAATCCTAGTTCTGCTCTGTGCTAGATGAGTGACTTTGGGCAAATCCCTAAGCCTCGGCATTCTCATCTGTGCAATGGGGCAATGAGTAGCAACCACCTTATAGAACCACTGTGAGGGTAAAACTTAGCTTCAGGGTCGTGGGGATGACTGGAAGCCATGCCCAGCGCATAGTAGGTGTTCAATAAACAGTAGTTGTGATTACCCATTGTGAACCTAAACCCATAAGCCCCTGTGCACCCGTTGTAAGAGCAGGGCAGCTCCTGGACGCTAAGGCCTCTCTGATGGTGTTCGGGGGTGCTCGTTGACATGTCCTGGAGAGACAGAGGATTTAAATCCAGGCCTCACATGCTTAAATAGGCAGAGTTCGGAGAGTCCAAGGATCTGGGGTCTGGTCCCAGCTGTGTCACTGATCTTGCTGGTCCTGGTACTTTTTGGGTGCCCAACTTTCCCCTCTGTGAGGTGCGGGGAGCTGACCACCGTGATCTCCCACTGGACCCTCTAGCTTGGCCTCTATTTCTGATTGTTTCCTTAAGGAAGGGAAGAGGTGCCCGGGTAGACAACAAAGGGAGGGGGTTTGGACAAAAGCCAGACTCCACTTCCTGCTTCCTGCTGCCTCCAGTTTTTGCTAACACTGTGTCTTTTCCCTGGAACACTCCTTTCTCCACTCCCCACCTCCCCTGGCCCAGCTGGCTTCAGCTTATCCTTCAGGACTTGGTGTATGTGGCACCTCCTCCAGGAAGCCTTCCCTGATCCCCTGCCCCTTCCCAGTCTGGGACTGGTGTCTCCCACCGACTTCTACGCTTCTGCCACCCCACCATGATCATTTGTCCATCTTGGCCAGGCTGCATGCCTGAAGTGTAGTAGGGGCTCAGCAGAGTGTGTCTATGCTGAGAGCGAGTGAACGGCATCCGGGCAAGAAAGGTGGAGAGTAGGTTAGCAGGACGCCGCATTGAGCATGAAGGACCGGGGGGCAGGGGTGGTGGGTGGGTGTTCGGATAAGCTCGCCTTGGCTACAGGTCCATGGAGTTTGGCTCTGGGTACCAGATGCAGGAGAGATGTGAGGTTTCGTGGGGTGGCCACTGCCTGCCACCTTCACACCTGCGTGTGCCGTCCCCTGGATGAGAAGATAAACCCACCTGTCTGGCTGTTAGAGGCTTGAGGGGTGGGCCAGGAGGGAGGGTGAGGGTCTCCTGAGTGCCTGGACGAGGGAGGAGCATGGGGGACACTGGGGATCACGTACCTAAGGAGGGCTGCCCTGGCAAAATCTGTTTGGCAGACGGTGGGGGAGAAGGGCAGCTGTTGTAACAGCCCAGGCCTGGGGTGACAAGAATCCCTGGAGGCTGCAGCCTAGTCAGGGAGGAAGCAGAATCCCACGCCAGCCCCTCCTGCTCTTCTCTGCCCCTGGGGCCGCTGAAGGGCTTGGCTGGGGAGTGAGCACTGCAGCCCCCATGCTGGCCATTTGGGGCCTGGAGGGGTACAGGGGGGGCACAGGGTGGCTCTGAGGGACTCCCCAAGCGGACAACACCACCAGCCCTCTGCTTCCCTGGCTGCCAGGGAGTTCCCACGTGGGAATGCAGTCTCCCACTCCGCACATTCCAAAACCCTGGGAGCCAGCCGTGCCTCCCCCAGGGAGGGTCCCCCCAGCTCAGTCTGGTGTTGCCAGCCCCTGAGCAGGAAGTTGTCAGGTAGAACCCAGGGGACTTGAAAGATTAGGACAGATCTATGGTCAACCTCCTGTTCACCCTTAAGGCCAGCTGGACCCTTGGGCGGGGAGCAGGGGGAGGGGTGGGGTAGGGGGCGTCTCTTGGTCTGGCAACAGGCTTTTCGGGAGCCAGCCTGAGTGTGGTGGTGGGGGGATCCCCTGGGCCCCTCTTCACAGAGGGTATCAGTCGGCGGGCGTTAGTCGCCACGAGGGCACTGAATAATGCCAGCTGATCTTTGCCGGCCACGGAGACAGTGCTTCCTCCTAGGGCAGGCCCTGCCCCTCTCGGGAAGCTCAGCAAGGCGTGTCCTCAACGCCCTCCCAGGAGCCTGGCTGGCTCGACTGGGCTGGGTTCAGTCACTGGGACTTGTTCGGGGTGAGGCGCACTTCCCTGGGCGGGTGGGCAGGAGCATGGGCAGGGAAAGCCCCGCACACCTGGGGCGCCATCGGCGAGGGCAGATGCTGGCTCTGACTGTGACCCTCCTCCTCACCTGTGGGCCAGGTAAGCCGGGCTGAGCTGGGGCCAGCAGAGGAGTCGGACAAATTCCTGGAAAAGAGGGGCAGATGTGAAAGGCTCCTCAGCTTCCCAAGCACCCCTCCAGGGGCAGCCACAAGGGCTTTTGCTTTTCAGCAAAGGCTTCCATCACAGCCAGCCAGGTGAGGCTACGTTTTCCAAACTGACTGGGGAGACTTCACACAGTGGCTACGTCATGAATTAAATATTGCTGGATCAGAGATACCCAGGCACCTCTTCTTTCTCTGGCTCACTTATACGTTCGTTCCCTAGGGTTTGGGTGTGGTTTTTTTTGTTTTTTATTGGAGTATAGTTGATTTACAATGTTGTGTTAGTTTCAGGTGTACAGCAAAGTGATTCAGTTATACATATACATTCATTCTTTTTTAGATTATTTTCTCATATAGGTTATCACAGAATACTGAGTAGAATTCCCTGTGCTATCTGGGTTTGTTTGTTTGTTTATTGACACCTCGGATCCCAGTACCTGTGCTCAGCTCTCAGGTGGGAAATGAGAAAGCCACAGCCCCAGGCTTGCAGGAGCTCCAGGCTGGTGGGCGAGGCAGAGGGGTGCCCAGGCTCTCTTGGTACAAGGCTGAGCAGGAGGTTTGCCACCTTAGGGGTTCTGGAGGTGAGGGTTTGCCTAAACTGCAGGGTGGTGTTTGGTTGGCAGGGATTTCTACAGGTGCAATTAGTGGAAGAAGGAAAAGGGCACTCCTGGCAGGGAGAATGGGTGGGCAGAGGCCAGGAGGCAGGAAGGCGCAAGGTGTGTTTGGGTCATTCAATGTGATGTGAGCGCATTTGGGCTGCTTGAAGGGGGGATGCTGAGGGGAGGGGTGGGAGCAGAAAGGCAGACTGTGAGGGTTAGGGGAGGTATGTTCTTGGCTCTCAAGGGGCACTTTGCAGGCCTGTTGGTCATCTGAGGGATCAGCTTGGATCTGGCTAACCAGAGAAACTCACTGGCCTCAGGAAAAGCTGAGAGTCCAGCTTGGTGTTGGGCTCTCTCCCCTACAGAAAGAAGGTCCAAGATCCTCCACGTGTGGCTCCAGGGCTGCCTAGACCCCCGGACTGTTTTACTCCAGCTGCCTCCTTGGGCAGGAAGTCAGTGCTTTCCAGCCAAACCGCTCTGGTGTCCAAGATAACCTGAGAACGGGCATCTACTATGTGCCAGGCGCTTAAATATCTGTTCGTTTACTCCTCCCAGGAGAAAGGACTGTCCTTAATGCTTGTCTGGGAAATGGAAGCCACTAAGGCCTGAAGGAGAGTGATGGTGGGGTCATCCTGAGGACCTCAGGCCCTGGACACTGGCAGCCCAGGAGCCACCCAGAGTAGGTGGGCTGCCTCCTCACCCACTCAGGCCTCACTGCAGCTCCTGAAGCAGGTGGAGAGGGCCCCCCAGCCCCCCAGCCCTGAGTCACCCAGGCCAGCCCTTGCCCCTGGAAGAGCTTTGCGGTTGGATGCCATTGTAAGGCACCCACACAATGGCCTGAATTGTGGGCGGGTTTGTATCAGACAATTCCACCACCTCTGATGGGGCGTGTCACCCTGAGCTGTCCCCAAAGCACATCACCACAAACAGAGGCTGTTTAACTGCTTTTGACCCCAAGGCCCCCTCAGAGTCTGATGCTGAGGGCTGTTTGAACTGAGCAGACTCTTGCTCCTGCCCAGTGAGGGCTGGTTGCCTGGACTAAGGGTTGACACCCCTCCCCAATTCCCCATCAATTCCACAGTAAACAGGACGCCTGTCAGGGCAGGGATCCCCCTGGAATATCAATTCAGACACCCTTCAGGACTCTTGACTTTAACGCTGGGAAAGACTCCCTTAATCCCTGGGCAGAGATGAAAAGAAATCTAAATCCAATGCTGACAGGCTGTGTGTCCTTGGGCTTGACACCTGACCTCTCTGAGTTTCTATCTCCCCAAAGAGTAATTTAAAAAATTCCAGAGCCGGCGGAGATCCATTCCCCACTCACCTCTCCCTCCACCCTGGACTCATCTGGTGCATCTTCATCCACATCTGCATCCTGTGCTTTTTCCCTCTTTGCCCCTGCGGCTGAAACACCCCAAGATCCCAGAGGACTGCAATAATCATCATTTTGTATTGCGTGCCTACTATGTGCCAGGGCTTTTTTTTTTTTTT